ACAAAGTCTATGTTTGATCTTAGCACACTATTTCTTAACAATTGTTGATGATTATACGCGTGGTGTCTGGGTCTACCTCCTGCGGTACAAGTCTGATGTTGGAAAATCTTTGATGCAATTCTGTAATATGATTAGAACACAGTTTGGCTGTTATGTTAAGCGAATTCAGGCAGATAATGGGCATGAGTTCAACACAGATGAGTTGTGAACCTATTATGCACGTGAAAGTGTTCTTCTTTAGACATCTTGCACGGACACTCCTCAGCAGAATGGTGTAGTGGAGAGAAAACATCGGCACATCCTCGAGATGGCTCGCGCTTTGCGGTTTCAGGCTTGCTTGCCTATCAAATTCTGGGGATAATGTATTCTTACAATTGTTTAACTTATTAACAGGCTTCCAACCAAAGCTACAGGCAAGAGTCCGCACGAGATGCTCTTTGGGAAGGTGGCTCCTTATCAACATCTTCGCGTGTTTGGTTGTTTGGCTTACTATAAAGACACCCACGCTCACCTTGATAAGTTCGCCGATCGAGGTCGTGCAGGAGTTTTTCTGGGTTATGCTGCTTATCAAAAGGGTTATCGCATTTTGTATCTCGTCTCTAGGCGGTTAATAACCTCACGTGATGTTCAATTCCACGAAGGTTTGTTTCCCATGCAGGATAATGCTCAACATGAGCTTCACTGGATCCCTCGTCCCACTATTCAGCCACATGATGATACATACGCTGCTTCCCCTCTCCACAGCCCTGTTGAATCATCTCCAGGACACCCCGCGTCGACCACAGCTAACGGGCTGGACCCGCATCCACTTATGGGCCGGCCACTTCTCCTTCGTCTTCCCCTGGACGCAATGGCATTGCGACCGGGCCGGCCAATCTGGCTTCTAGTCACCAGCCCAATTCAGCCCAGCAGCTTGCGTAGGGCCCACCGGTTCTGAGACGGAGCAATCGGGAGCGGTTTCGTCCGAAGCATTTGGAGCAGAATTACGTCACTCAATTTGTTCCCCATAATGCTCAGGGAAGCACCTCCCATCATACCTATTATCCATTAGCTGCTTATGTTGATTATTCACGTTTTAAAGGAACTTATTGCTCTTTTCTTGCAGCCCAGACCCGCTATGATGAACCTCGCTATTTTTATCAAGCAGTCTGTGAGGCTTGCTGGCGAGAGGCTATGACTCGCAAGGTCGAAGCCCTTGAGAAGAATGGAACGTGGAGCCTTGTTTTTCTATCCCCAGGCAAGCGTGCGATCCCTTCTAAATGGGTTTACAAGATCAAGTTCTTTCCTGATGGGACTATCGAACGGTACAAAGCTCGTTTGGTGACCAAAGGTTATACTCAGGTTGAAGGGCTTGATTTCCACGATACGTTTGCACCAGTTGCTAAACTGGTCACAGTTCGTTGTCTCATTGATGTTGCCATCACTCGAGGCTGGCAACTTCATCAACTAGATGTCAATAATGCCTTCCTTCACGGCGATCTTGAGGAGGAAGTATACATGGAAATTCCTGAAGGATTTCGGAAACCGGGAGATACACGAGTTTGTCGTCTCCATAAATCTATTTATGGCCTTCGTCAAGCATCGCGAAACTGGTACCGGAAGTTTACCTCCGCCCTCTGTGAGTTTGGGTTTCGGTCTTCTGCGACTGATGCATCCCTCTTCATTTATCAGCATAACAACACTTTCGTCATGACATTGATCTATGTTGATGACGTTATTCTCGCGGGTAATGACCTGTCATTCATTACGCGCGTCAAGCAGTTCCTGAATGATCGCTTCAGTATCAAGGATCTTGGCTAGCTTCACTATTTGTTGGGCATTGAATTGGCGCGCCTTGCTAGTGGTGTTGTCCTCAGTCAACGTAAGTACGTTTTGGATATACTGGAGGATGCTGGTGTTCAGGGTACACGCCCCAGTTCTTTTCCCGTTGAGCAAAATCATCGTCTGACCCGTGTTGGTACAGATCCATTACCTGATCCTTCAGTCTATCATCGTCTCGAGGGACGTCTTCTTTATCTAACCATTACACGACCTGATATCACCTATGCAGTCAACCTGTTGAGCCAGTTTGTCAGTGCTCCTACTCAGCCACATCTCGATGCCATTTTCCGAGTCCTGCGCTATCTGAAGTCGTCACCAGGTCAGGATCTTTTCTTCCCCAAAGATAATCCCCTTCTCCTCACAGCTTATTGTGATGCAAACTGAGGTGGTTGTGAGCAGACTCGTCTTTTTACTACGGGATACTTTATTACACTTGGGGGGCTCCTGTTTCCTGGCGCACGAAGAAGCAGTGAGTTGTTGCCCGTTCTTCTACTGAAGCTGAATATCGTGCCATAGCGAGCACGGTTAGTGAGCTCATCTGGTTGCTCTGGTTACTTAAAGAGCTTGGGGTTCCACAGCATACTCCGACTCCGCTTCACTGTGACAACCAGGCAGCCCTTCACATTGCTAACAATCCTGTTTTCCACGAACGTACCAAGCACGTGGAAATGGATTGTCATTTCGTCCGCGAGCGTGTCTAGTCCGGTGACATTCTCCCTGTCAAGGTTCGCACTTAGTTTCAACTCGCTGACATCCTTACCAAGGGACTCAGTGCGGATCGCTTCCACTTCCTTCTTTCCAAGATGAGTGTTCGAGATCTCCACGCCTCATCTTGCGGGGGAGTATTGGGCCAGAGCAGCATTGTGGTGCAGCCCAAGCAGCCGTTCCATGCGGCCCATGCCGACGTGAAGGAGGAGTCTGCGAAAGAGTTTCCTTCTCCTCCACGAATAAGTGCAACACATTGTACCCTAGATGAGATAGCTGAATTAGGGTATTTAAACCCATGTAAGGCCTCTGGCCAAATCACAGAATAAGATCATCATGTTTCCTCCGTGGATGTAAGCCTCACAAACCGTGAGGAAGAACCACGTTAAACAAAGTGTCTATCTATTTTCTGCTAAATTTTACACACTTATGTAACATCAATATTCAAATTTCCAACTTAGAATTAAAAAGATTGGATTAGGCAAAAAAGAAAATCGAAAAATAGGCACATTTCGCAAACCAAAAGAAACATACAATACAATTTGACCTCCAACCTGTTATCTTACAGCGATGGACCCGACAAATGTGTACGATCTATTTTTCCCATTGAATCAGGGTCAAAGTGGGTCAACGCACTGGTCGACCCACAAATTGACAACCTTACTATGGTCTAACCGTTGCAGATTACTGGAGGAAAAAACACTACATTCGTCTTCCCGGTAAATGTTGCCTTGAAATATGAATTCTTACTTACTTTTTGTAGATTTGAGTTCTGACAGCTTACCTTATTTATTTATTTAAAAAGCCGCCACCTTAAGGACTTTTTTTTAAGGACCTAAGGACTAATTACAAGTAATTAAGTAAGTAACAGAGAGATAGATCTCATATGAGTCCTTTTCTCTTTTATATTATTTCTTGTGTAATGTTAATATGACTGTAGCGGCTATTATCATTAAACTTGTTTTTTTTAATTAGGTATTCATTCTGGTGCTTCCATAAACGGTCCACAAGATATCAGATAACTGGAAACAAATAGGATAAATGGATGAGCTATTCCCCATCATGTAGCGACGTGGCCACTGATGCATATTCTTCTGGAAAAAATGATGTATGACTCACACGAAAGATGTCATGACCAGTGGCGTAGCTATGTTATATCCAAGAAGGTTGTAGCCCACCCCAACTCCGAAAAATTACATGCAAAATTCATACAAATTCAGTCTCTAAGGGCTTAGCCCCCTCTTTAATTGCAGGGATTCAAAGTCAACTCAGTCATTTAGATTTTTGGATCCACAACTAGTGATGACCATTCACCTATCAATAGTTCTAGGGATGGCAATGGGTCGGGTTTGGTCGGGCAGTTAGTACAGATCCGTTACCCTACCCAAAGTAGGTCGGATTTTACCTATACCCATACCCACATAAGAATTAGGTAGAAAATCAAAATCATGTCCATACCCGTTCGGGTTTCGGGTATCCATGGTTATCCATGGGTAATAATTTCTCTTTATAACTCTAATCAAAATATTGACATTCACACGTATACTCACATTATATAAGTGGAAAATACGACAATAATTCACTTGAATGAAAAAATTAATTTCAAACAACACAATTTCATGAAAATATTACATTTGTATGCTAAATATAAAAATATGTTGAGAAAAATATGATCATTTATAGACAAAATACATATGAAAGTGTATAATCGGACGGATTCGGGTTGAACACTGAAAAAATCGTGTCCACCCATAACCCGTAATGTTCGGGTTTGGGTTTTACCCATACCACTAAAAATCGTTTGTTTGAGTTTTACCTTACTGGATTCGAATGGATATCCACATTTTCAGATATTTTTATTATCCCTAAATAGTTAGGAACAATATAAATGATCGTCTCACGGTCTCCTTCGCATGTGGACAAGTACTTGTATGTGCCCAATTTTTTTATTAGATCTCTTGATACAATATCCATTTTCTCGATGTATTCATATTTTGAAAACTTTCTAACATTGGAACCTTTTCTTTGGTTTGTGATAGGACAACAAAGACCAGAATAATCACTTACGAAAAAAAGATAATCCCTCAATTTGTACAACTTGAAAATGACATATCTAATTTTTGATTAATTAGACGTCATCCTCAACACAATTTTGATTAGTTGATGATTTAACATTTACATCCAACGCAGCAAAAAAGAATAGATCCAATCCAATACGCAATTCCCCATATTCATTCACCATAATGATTGGTTTAACATTACATTAAAATAAAATAAAATAAAATAAAACAAAACCCTCATCAGTTACTCATTTCAGGATTCGGCATCCCCCCACGCGCCTCCCCGCGCGTTGTCCTCATCTCCAGCTAGAGTCCGCCTTTCATGCCTTCCCTTCTTCCCTTCCGCCGAGAGACTGACCGAATCAAACTCTCTCTCTCTCTCTCTCTCTCTCTCTCTCTCTCTCTCTCTCTCTATCTCTCCATCTCTGGGACTTGTGCTTAGCTCTGTCACGCCATCGCCAACTGAAATGGCGCATCTACCTCCTAATGGCTGATCATCTCCCCTGCCCTCTCTCTTTTTAAAATCCACCATTAATCATACTCTTTTATATTAATCCTCCACACTCACACCAAACCGCCTTCTTTCTTCCCTTCTCTTTCCCCGTTGAGCCGAAGCACCCACCTCTCAATTCTGCAACCGGCGCACGAACCCTCGAAGGAAAAAATGGACAACAAAGAGCCGCTCCTCACGTTCGTGGCTCCGAGCCCAAGAGCCCGCCCGCCGCCGCCGCCCTGCCTCTGCCCTCTCCCGGAGAACGACGAGTTCTCCTTGCCCATTCCCATGACCCCTTCCGCGCTAAAGGACCGACTCATTTTCGGCCCTTTCACGCCTTCCCCTAGGGCGTCTTCATCCTTCGTCGACGCCCTCACTCTCTCCCCGAGCCCTCGTTACCCCGCCGCCGGTACATCCGTCTTTTCTAACAACGACCGCAGCGGCGGCGGTGGGGGAGGCGGCGGGGGAGGGGTCGGAGGAGGAGGAGGAGGAGGAGGTTCAATGGTTCCGGATGCGCAGTCTTGGCTGATTGATCCCAATTACAAGGTGCCCCACAAGAGCAATCTACATCGTTGCAAGACGGCTCCCGCCATGGCGGCAATCAACGAGATTAGCCACCATCCTGCCGATCCCAGCCCTCAATTGGGTCCCAGTTCCGTCGTGCGTCAGGGCTTTATCCTCCTGGTAGTCTATTTAACATTCGGCGTTTTGATTTATTGGGTTTTCCGCAAGGATTTCACCGTTAGCGAGACCCACCCTGTGGTCGATGCTCTGTATTTCTGCATTGTCACGATGTGTACGATTGGGTATGGCGATATCACCCCGAACAGTACCGCCACCAAATTGTTCTCGGTTCTGTTTGTGCTTGTGGGGTTTGGATTCATCGACATTTTGCTTTCTGGGATGGTGAGCTATGTGCTTGATTTGCAAGAGACTTATCTGTTGAGGAATGCTCAGAGGGTTGGGGGAAGGGAAACTGCGGGTAGATACATTATTGATGTGAAGAAGGGGAGAATGAGGATACGAATGAAGGTTGGGTTGGCTTTGGGCGTTGTGATTATCTGCATTGGCATTGGGGTTACTGTTATGCATTTCATAGAGCGGCTTGGATGGATTGATTCGTTGTACCTCTCGGTAATGTCTGTCACCACAGTTGGATATGGAGACAGGGCTTTCAAGTCGATGCAAGGTCGAATCTTTGCCTCAATTTGGTTGCTTGTGTCAACTTTGGCCGTGGCGAGGGCTTTCTTGTACTTGGCTGAGGCCCGAGTTGATAAGAGGCAGAGGAGGATGGCGAAATGGGTTCTTGGTCATGATATGACTGTCTCGGAGTTTCTGGCTGCTGATATTGATCACAATGGTTATGTCAGGTAAGAGTTCTGTTGAATGTTGAATATAATTGTTCATAATTTGTGGTAGGGAAAGAAACTGTGCAGTGTGATATGCCTTACCGAGTGTGTTTGTTTGAGCTTTGGTTCAAAGAATTAGTGGGTTCATGGTGAATAGTATCTCCAACTTTTGAGTCACTTTTTCTGGAGCAACTTTTTGTTTATACGAAACAACAGGCTATCCTTCTCTGGTTTTACTGTTATGATCTGAGGTAGTCTCCATTAATCTTTGTTCTGAGGCTGTTTTAACTTGCTGAAGACATCGTATAGAACAGAAATATTATTTGTCCCTTGTGATGTTGTTAATGTGATTGATGTGGCTCGTACAGAATTGAGGAATGCTGTTCATAATTGATATCCTACGAGGAGGCTTTACATAGAATTCATTCTGATCGTCTTTCGTGGCCTATTTATCTGCTGATGATGAGTGCTAGTTTCTGTTACAAATGCCATTAGGGAGCTGTAATAGGTAGGACTCAGAAAAAACCTGTGGCTTGCTGTATGGAGAAACTCTTGCGTGCTTCCGTCCTCAAAGCTTCCAACTCCTTTGGATCAGTTGTTGGCTACCCTATTAACTTCATTATTGAATCCTGTTTCTTGCAGCAAATCAGAATATGTGATATACAAGCTGAAGGAGATGGGGAAGGTAACAGATAAAGATGTTCTGCAGATATGCCAGAATTTTGATCGGATAGACTCTGGGAACCTGGGGAAAATTACCCTCAATGATCTGATCACCGGTCAACCCTAAACAGCGCGAGGCAACCTACCCACGATGCGAACGAATATCTGTCAACCCATGGCACACAGGGATCAGTCTCACAAAGATCATACAATAGAGAACCAAGTTTTTGCTCTTGTCAACTTGCATGGTCTCCTACAAGTGGTTTCTCCTTCTCCAACAGCAAGCGGGCATTGGACGGCCAAAAAACTCCATTCCACAACAGTCTATTTTACCTCATTTGCCGGACAGGAGAAAGCAAGCAAGTCATGTTTTCAGTGAGATGCAGCTAATAGGCTGCCTGCCCATGGCCCAAGAAAGGCAAGGATTCTTCCCAAATGCTTCAACTGATGTGTAAATGAACGCCAATGTTTCTGGTTGGCTATGTGCAGTTAGTTGTCAAGGTAGGATACACAGATACCTAAGACCATTAGGTATATGATAGGGTAGTTGTTCTGGAGGGCGGGAGTTTTGGTCAATATATGCAAAATATTCTTTGGTTGGTTTCCCTTCTCTCAGGACCATCATCAATCAAGCAATGATGGGAACTAACGTACCCATGAAATCGATGCCCGATACGTCTCTTACCTGAAGGACATGCTCCCTGTCCGATGAGACCCAGCACATGAGTGACATAACAACACCACGAGCATTGAGGAATGCGTTGGCCAATTCAAAACTAACCAGTTTGTAGTACCTTGACCATTGTCCGAAGGAGAAGCAATATAGTGACTCATTATAATGGGGATTGCTATTCGTCGCTGAGATTAATTACTGGATTGTAGTAATTGTGACAATCCAGTGCAAATTTGGTATGAAAAATAATTGGGTTAATTGCATGGTTGGTCACTGAGATTACAAAAAACGTTCATATTTGGTCACTGTAAATATTTAAATCCAATCTTGGTCACTCAAATTAGTTATATGGTTCAAGTTTGGTCACTCTCCGTCCAACTCCGTTAAATTTGTCTGATGTGGCAGTCAACCCTCAAAGTTGACCGTTAACTCAGTGACGTGGAAATTAAAAAATAATAAATAAAATAAATTTTAATCTTCTACCATTTCCAACTCATTTTCACAATAAAGTAAAATAAATAAAACAAATAAATATTATAATTACAAATTGAAAAGGGGCTCATCACCGACGAAAACAACAACCACCACCTCTCCTCCGCCGCCGATGACAACAACCACCGCCTCCGCCGCCTGTACCAGGACCTCTCCACCATCCTCCCCCACCGACTCGGCCCCGACGATCTCCTCTCCAAGGACGTTCCCCTGATCCTCGAGCGGCACAACAACGATCTCGCCCTCGTAATTCCCCCTCTCCCTCTCGAGAACGGAAACCTAAATGGCGGCGGGGGGGGGGGGGGGAACCACGACAAGGAGGAGGATCTGAAATTGGAGGCGCTGGAGGCGGCGAATCGGTCCCACGCGCCGTACAGCAACTGCCCGTCGGGAGTGGCGCTGATGGACTGCGAGGGAAAAGTGTACAGGGGCTCGTACATGGAGTCGGCGGCGTACAATTCGAGCCTGGGGTCCGTGCAGGCGGCGATCGTGGCGTACATCGTCGGCGATGTCGCACAAGGTTGAGGCCACCATTATTGAACGAGTCGCCGACGGTATCTTTGGTTTTGACCGGAACCATATTGTCCTAGATCTCTTCGTGAAGTGGTGTTGGGCGCTTGAACCTGGAAGGAATATTGGAAAAGTACACAATTGTCATTCTACAATTTGCACCTAAATTCCTTATTTATAAACAAACAAGAGATTGTGTAGAAATTCCACGAGGGCGAGATCGTTGTTGTGCCGCTCGAGGATCAGGGCAACGTCCTTGGAGAGGAGATCGTCGGGGCCGAGTCAGTGGGGGAGGATGGTGGAGAGGTCCTGGTACCGGCGGCGGAGGCGGTGGTTGTTGTCATCGGCGCGGAGTAGAGGTGGTGGTGGTTGTTGTTGTCGTCGGTGATGACCCCTTTTCAATTTGTAATTATAATATTTGTTTTTGTTTTATTTATTTTACTTTATTGTGAAAATGAGTTGGAAATGGTAGAAGATTAAAATTTATTTTATTTATTATTTTTTAATTGCTACGTCACTGAGTTAACGGTCAACTTTGATGATTGACTGCCACATCAGACAAATTTAACGGAGTTGGACGGAGAGTGACCAGACTTGAACCATTTAACTAATTTGAGTGACCAAGATTGGATTTAAATATTTACAGTGACCAAATATGAATGTTTTTTGTAATCTCAGTGACCAACCATGCAATTAACCCAAAAATAATTATTTATTTAACAAATTACATTTTTTTGAAGATAAAATTACATATTAATTAAAGTATTTTCTTTAAGTACCCCTTTTGCTCTCCCTCTAGTTCTCCGACCACATTTCTGCTCCTCCTATCACAGCTCTCCCTTTCCGGCCACCTCTTTACATTCTCTTTTTTTAGAAAAGATGACGCATTGCGCCTAGTGCATTGAATTAACAGAACATTCTTGGGCAATGCCCATGACATCATAGTACAACCATTTCGTAAGTCTCGGGTTGCACACATCGAAGAGGTGTGCCAAAAGGGGAGTCGTGACCTACACTAGCAAGGAAATCTGCAGCAAAGTTTGATTCTCTATATACATGCGAAATTCTAACCTCCCATTCCCGGTTCAAAAGCCTTCGAAACAAGGCAGCAACCTGGCCGTGTCTGTGATCATCATCTTCATTGTTCCTGATGATTGAAATTGCAGTCTCCGAGTCGAACAGCTTCACTGTCCCCTTTCAACTCTGCGCTCGTGATCAACCAGCTTCCCAGGTTACAAGTGAAAGCATATATGCATCTACCCAAGTGATCGCGAAGAAGACCTCCTGCCGCAGCCTTCCCTATTTCGTTGTGAACCGATCCATCACTCTGGAGCTAGATCCACCCATCTGGTGGTGGTTTCCAGGCGATGTTCCTTGTGTGTGTGTGTCTCTTTGCTTGTAAGGAGGTTCTCTCAACAAACTGGTGTGCATTCCTGATGATGTTAAACCAGGCATTCATTATGCACAGCAGACCATGTGTAGAGAACTTCTTTCCCTCCATAACTTCCTCGTTTCTCTGTTTCCATAAGTGCCAGCAAACAAGTCCGAAGTCGACTCCTTTCTCCTGTCCATCAGGTTCTTCAAATGTCATTCCTCCAGTGGCAGCTGCATGTTCTTTTCTTTCATTTTGTGCCTGAGCTTGTCCTAGATTTCAGTAGCTTTGCTGCAACTTCTAAGAATGTGTTCAATCGACTCAGTTCTGTCCCTGCAGTGGTTGCAGTTATCATTCCCAGTGATCTTCCTTCTTTTGCGCTCCTGATTCGTCATAAGGCGCTCGTGAAAAACGATCCAGAAGAAGTGTCTGACCCTGTTGGGTCCTTTCCATTTCCAAATCCTTTTTCCAGCTGGTTTCGTTAGTCTCCTCCTCTTCTTCATCTGCTGCCGCCAGGTAGTATGCTGACTTCAGCCGAAATCTCCCGTCTCTCTCAAGGCCCCAAATTGTCTTGTCCTCTCCAAGTTCAGGATTGGGTGGATCTGTTCCTGCAATCAAGGTCAAGGCACTATCAGGCAGGACTCTTCTCATTCGTTCCCAGTCCCACTTACCTTTTTCCGTGGTCCACTCCGCCACTGATAAATCTCTATCTCTCTCGGAGAGGCCAGCTGTCAGATAACTGTCCAGGGTGACACCACATTCAAGCCACGGGTGAGATCAGAAGCTGGTTGTTTCCCCGTTTCTTATGCTCCAGCAGCAACCGCTCTTCATCAATGGCATTGCCTTGATAATGCCTCTCCAAAGGCTTGAGTGGTTGCTTTTCTTCATTCCCACGATCGCCCCATCTTTATGCTTGAAGTACTTGCCCTGCAAAACCTTGACTCATAGCATGTCATCATGGTTTAACATTTGCCACGCAAGTCTGTTCATACATTTAGCAGACCTCAGACCCAAACCCCCCTGACTTTTGGGTTTACAAATTGTATCCCAAGAGATCAAGTGGGCTTTCCTGCCTCCAACCTGAGATCCCCAAATGAAGCTTCTGATTTTTCTATCAATTATGTCACAAACAGTGGCAGGCAAGACAGAAAACTGCATAACATAACTAGGGAGAGCGTTTAACACAGAAGTGGCGAGGGTAACCCTCCCAGCAAGAGATAAGGTTCTGGCCTTCCACATAGACAGTTTATTATCAATCTTCCCGAGGATAAACTTGTAGGTGTTATTGTTTAGTCTACCATGCAGAACATGGACCCCTAAGTATCTACCAAGGTCATTGGTGGACTGAATCCCAAGCTTAGCACAAACCTCAGCCCTGGTTTTTTTCTGGACGTTTTTGGAGAAAAACACCCTGGATTTTTCCTTACTAATCATTTCACTAGAAGCAAGACAAAATCTATTCAGGCATGACATGACCACATCAGCCTGCTTCGGGCTAGCCTCAGCAAAAAGCACAGGTCGTTCGCGAAGAACAGGTGAGACAGGTCAGGTCCATTAGGTGATAGTTTCATAGGTTTCCATTCTTTGGTCCTAACCTCTTCAACAATGGTGTGACACAACCTTTCCATACATAAAGTAAAAAGGTAGGGAGAAAGGGGACATCCCTGGCGTAATCCTCTTGTTGGGGTGAAAGAATCAGTCTCCCCACCATTCCAAAGGACTTGGAACCTTGTCGTGGTCACACATGCCATGATGATTCTGATGCATTCCCTCGGGAGATGGGCTTCCACCAGTTTTTCTTCCAGGAAATCCCAGTTGATCCTATCGTAAGCCTTAGCAAGATCTATCTTGAGGAGCATGGAACCTTTCCTTCCTGTCTTTCTAGCCATAGTGTGTACCGTTTCCTGCAAAATGATAATGTTGTCAGTTATATGTCTCTTAGGTACAATGCTAGACTGGTTAGGGTGAATGAGAGAAGGCAGCAAAGGTTTAATTTTGTTTGCAATACTCTTATCAATCACTTTATACACAATGTTGCATAGACTTATTGGTCTAAACTGACTCAACGACTGGGGAGCTTCAATTTTTGGAATTAAAGCCAGCAGAGTTTCATTAATGGTGCTAATCCTATCAGGGGATCTAAAACAGGAGTGAATAAAACAGGTAAGGTCAAAACCAATGATATCCCAGCATTTTTTATAGAAGATGGCATGGAATCCATCTTTTCCAGTGGCTTTCATCCCATTCATCTCCATAATGATGGCTCTGATTTCCCCCTGGATTGGGATGGATTTCAAGCCAGTCATCATGGAATCAGCAAGCAAAGGAAAGCATGCAGGAAGGGGAAAATAAGAGGAAAGGGGTTCCCTGGTAAAGAGGTTCCTATAGAACTCTCTTGCCATCTCCTGGAGTCTGTCAGGATCAATGATCCATTGTCCTCCATCATCCTTGAGTCCAATGATTCTGTTATGTCTTCTCCTACTAAGTGTACTTGTGTGGAAATATCTGGAATTTTGATCACCCTTCACCACCTAGTTGGCCCTCGATTTTTGAATCCAGAGTAATTCTTCATTCCACAGTGTCATCTCGAGCTTCTCCCTCGTCTCTTGCTCCCTTTTGAGAGAACTGGTGCAGGGGTTCCTCTCATTAAGGATTTCCAAGTTTTTGAGGTCCCTCAGGAGGTCTTTCTTTTGCTTGAAAATGTTACCAAACACATCTTTGTTCCAGGTTTTAAGATTGGCTGACAGACCCTGCAGTGAAGATAGGAATTCCATGCCTTTAATTCATTTAGAGGAAATGAAAGGAAAGAAGTTTTCATGAGACAACCAAGGTGCTAAGAATTGGAATCTTTTCACCCGGTTCTTATTGCCAGTGTCCAGGTTCGTACAGGTCAAGATAGGTCTGTGATTAGACCTCAGCTTCGGAAGATGCAGGTTGAAGGTTGCAGGGTATCTTTGTTGCCACAATGAGTTGCACAGACTTCTATCCAGTCTTTCCCTCAAAGTGGAGTTCCTTGTGAACCACGTGAACTTAGGTCCTCGATATCCAAGGTCAACGAGTCCACATTCATCTATACATTCCTTAAAAGCCCTGGCTTTGGCAGGATTAAAAGCAGCACCGCCTTGTTTCTCAGATGGTTGAGTGATTGAGTTGAAATCTCCAAGGATCAACCATGGGGATTACACCTCCTGCTCTAATCTCCTAACCTCCTCCCAGAGATCCTTCCTCTCATGCTCATTAGGACTGGCATACACTGCCGTTAGCAGGAATTGTACCCTACCTCCATCAACACATTTCAGGTGGACAAACTGTTTATGTTTGTCAACCTATTCCAGATTCAGCTTTCCACTATCCCATAGGACCCAAATGCCCCCACTAAAGCCCATAGCATCAGAGACCTTCCATGAATCATAACCCAAGGTCTTGATAACATCAATTGCATCACTGCCACTAATTCTTGGCTCCAAAATGCAAGCCACATCAGGACGGAACATCAGTTTATATTCCATAAAAGCCGAGTGAAATTTGGGGTGTCTGGCACCCCTGCAGTTCCAGGAAAGTTCTTTAACCATAAAGCTAAAGTACCTTACCTACTAACATTCAGCAATGATTTTCAATGGTCGATGGGCACTGCCATCTGCCTCCCATCAGGTTCGACCTTTTAGTCATTTCCTTCCGGCAAGGCTGCATCTTCTAGCATTTGATCCATGTCCGAGCTCATATTGAAGTTGATCTTCTTCGGTTGACCAATCCCATTTTCCGGGGAGACCACTTTCTTCTTAGCTTTCTCCTTACTTTCAGCTTTCATGGACACCTGTTTTCCTTTAGGTTGGTGTCCTGCACGAGCACAAAATGCCTGCCCCCTTTCATTTCCTATTTTGAGCTTGTCCTGTGTACGAGTAGTTCCTCATTCCTTAGTTTTGCCTCTTTGCTTATTAGTAGGAGATGATTGAGCGGTTTTACCACTCTTGGGAACCACAGACATGCCTACACCCCTTGTTTCCTTCACATTGGAGGAGTTAGGCTGTTTTCCCCTTGGCTGTTTTTCTTCCATTTTACCTTCCTGATTCTTCTTCCCTTGTCCAGGCTTTTCCTGGTTTTTGTTTTTATCTTCCTGGCCCTTCTCCATGCTTGTTCCAACCTTCCCTTCCACCACTCTCACTTTATCATTTCCTGTAGTATTTCTATCTTGTTGTTTCTCCTCTTTACCTGTCCCTTTCTTTCCCTCCATGAAGTTCTTTTCTTCCTGTGTGACAATATGCTCGTCAACCTCCTCATCTTTAGTATCCACTTCCTTGTCATCATCATTCTCAAGCACATTGAATCTTGACCCTTGTGCCTCTTTAGCAGCTGTCTCTTCATTGCCTTTGTTTTCCTTCCCTGCTTTCTGACCATTCTGCTGTTTTGTCTTCCTACGGTTTCTGGTTGCCAACATCCATGACCTGTGTAACACCCTAACCCGACCGGGTACTAATTTTACCAAAATATCCTTGAAAATTAAAATACTCAAAGCTTAAACTGCAATGGGAAACATTTTCATAAATAAATTTTTGAAAACACACTCTTGTAGTTCAAAGCTACGCCCTAACACATGGGCAACTCAATACCTAAAATCTCAAAATGATCTCCAGTCTATACTCATAATCATAAATCTAAATAATTAATAATCTCTAATGTTGCTGCTACTGAAAACCTTGACTAAGCATCCTCCGTGACGCTTATACTGCCCTCCTCTAGTTGGCTGCCCTCGAACTCGCTGCTCACTAACTGCTCCTCTGGCTCATCCTCTAGCTCTTCAAACTGGTGAGTGAGATGGGGTCAATCTACACCCTTACGTTTAACATCTTATTAATACTTGATCGCTTTACTTAACTGAGTGGAAGTTGTTTTGTACTATCACTATTAAAAGCTTAAGTCTTAAAACTGTATGGGAGTTATTGTTACTCTCCATTCTTAAAGCTCAAATCTTGACTTAAATACTTGACTGACACGGGGTTCCCTCACTAGCTAGTCCGGTTGCCAACTCATGCGTATGAGAAGCCGTCCAGGCATTCCTTAAACTTAGTTAGGGGAGTCGTAACGATTCATCCCCCTAACATCTTAAACTTATCGTGGTGGCTCTTCACCACGATTCTCAAGAGCATAACTGCTGCTCATCTTAAAAGTCTCAAGAGCATAACTGTTGCTATCTCAAAATGTCTCAAAAGGCAACGAATTGGCGCTAGTGACTAAAAACACTCAAAACGACTTCACCTTCTTGAAGGTGAGTTACTTTTTAAAAAGAACTTGTTTCTTAAACTTTAACCATAACTCAAACATAACTCTTTAAGGTAAATAGCACAAAATCACCTCAAATAGCACAAAATCACCTCAATCATAGCTCAAGCAAAGCACAGATAAGCAATCATAAACATAACCAAGCAACGGTAACCAATTCGCTAAAATACTTAAAATCATAATACTTAAAAGAATACGTAAGGCGTAGAATTTACCCCCTTTACATTCACCTTATACTCAAGTCGACTAACTTGAATCACCCTACAGTTGATCAGACTCCTTGGTCGTGGTGTACCCCTCCGCTTGGCCTCGTCTTTGGATTACGTCAACTATGTTAAGCTGCGTTGGTTAATTATAGACTCTTAGTAAGACTTCCTGTTGGGATTTTTAGTGGTTTGAATGGAAATAAAAGGGGAAAGTTTCAAGAGAGTCTCTTGAAGTACCATGTTGGTAAGATGTGGGAAGGCATG